ATTTTGTAGGAATTTGAGATTCATGAAAATCAGAAATATATGGAAGAGAAACAATATGTTTCTTTCTATTCCAAAAAGCATTAGGAATAGTCGGTTCGGGTCTCTTCAGAACCGAACCGAACCGAACCGACCCACGGACAGCCCTAGTATTTAGGTATGCAGAACTTACTTGAAAAATTCCTCTCAGAACCTTTAGTGGTCGAACCATTGATGATGGGAGCTCAAGAACTATTCTTTCATCATGTTCGCTAGGAACATAGCCCGGGGCAACAGCTGATGCTATTGGCAACACTGGGTCGTTAGTCACTGGAGCATCTCTAGAGTCTGATGTCATTTGCAGTGGTTGTTCAGCTGATCCAGATGATCTTGTCTGAAATTCACCATTTTGTTCTATGCCATTTGGGCTACCATCCAAATGGACATCACCTTGCTCTTCCTCTTCATTTCCTACCTCAATCGAGATAGCTTCTGCAGCTAAGATAGAAGCTTTGGATGGACTTATGACTTTATCTTTCCCATGCTTCTGCACTACATTATCTTCATAATCTGCAGCCGCACCAAAGTGATCTGAACCTTGGTAGTTCCTCTTCAAAACCCTCCTCATCCTGGAAGAACTTTCCATAAAATCTAGCTTCCAGAAAACCTGCATTTCCATGGTTTTAAAGTAAGTTAGTCTGCAAATATTTACAATAGAGAAATCAAAGATAACCAGTAACATACGTGTTGAGAACTGTATAAATGATCACAAGAAGGTCCAAAAAGACATTTCATCTCGATCAAGCAGTGAATCAGCTTGCGCCACTCACGAATTCCAGTGGATAACCGGTGCCGAGCTATTATATCAACTTGAGACCTCCTCTCAACCTAAACCCATAAAAAGAAACTTTAGAACAGCTGTAATCTGTGATTACACAAGTATGTATGGATGATTTAACTAACATAAATTATACCTCAGATCGTTGCATGTTTCTAGCCAAAGCTAAACTTCCTACGAGGACAGCAACATATTTATAGGATAGAGCATTGAAGTCCTTTCCATACACGGATTTTGAATCAACAGACTGCAAGCATTCCATCCAGGCTGTTCCCATGGCTTCAGAAACATTCCATCTCTTAACCCGCTCTGTATCACTTTTTTGCCGTCTCTGCGCTGATGTAGCCATTGCCACCGCACTGAGACCTCGTCCTGAACCAATCTTTGCATTGCGCTCAAGGTCTCTTGCAGCAGCCAGGGCAGCAGCTTTTGCAGCAGCCTTGTCCTTGGAAGCAGCTGGATATTTATTAGGTGCCTCCAAAGGTTTCTGAAAGCTTGAAAAAGTATGAAGTTTAGTTGTTTTCCGCTCCAGCAATGAAGAGTCGCGCCTCAGCTGTGAAGAAGTTGGAGGAGGAGTGGTTTCTCCTCCAGCGGCACCAGCAGCAATCATCGCCAATGCCATAGCAGCAGGAGGTGATGCAAAAGATGCAGCCCAGCTAGGAGATATCATAGCAAGAGCAGCCTAAAGGGTGAAAATTAAATGTTCAGACATTGGATTCAAATGGGAATCTAAAGCAATCAGTAAAAAATCTAGAAGGTTCCAAAAAAAAAAATAGTTCAAACAGCATGTTCAAAGAAAAAGCTAATTTGTTTTCTTGCATATATACAAAAATGAGAGGGAGATAGACAGTTGCAGCTACTGAAAAATATACAACAGATAAATTATGGAATAGTCTTAGATGAAACCTAAACCATATCATTATGGTGCAACAGTTGACAACTTTTCAAAGGTGGTCTTTGCATATTGGGATCATATGTAGTTGTGGCAACATTCAACTTATATATATGTATGTATGTCTAATAGCGTACGATTATGTCATTTAGGTGTTTGATCTATTTGACTTATTTAATGTTAATAGATTTTTGACCTTCTTATAATAATAATACTAATAATAATAATAATAATAATAATACCCTTTTGCAGTTTGGGTATTGATTATTGGGTAGACATGATGATGCACTAATCGAAAACAAAACTATCTAGAGGAAATTGAGGTCAATAGCACTAAGTTTTCTTTGTGTACTTCTGTTTGTTTTTAGTAATTTTTATGTTTTCATTTACTTAGCCCCCGTTTATTTCTCATTTTTCATCCATAAAAATAAAAAATATGGCCGTTATGCATCACATCAATCCATTAATTTTGAATTTCTATCTCTTATGTGAGGCCCAATAATGACAATATTTTACATTCTCATTCTACAATAATGAGAATCAAACGGGCCCTAAATATAAAAAATGTAGTTTAATAAAACAATGGTTTAGTTTGATATTTAAATTATGTCTAGGTGGTTAAAAATGAAAAGAACATTACAAAATGAGTATGCTGAAGTTTCTCAATAATGGTTAAAGGACTCTTGGCACATTGACTTCGTGGGCAGCGAGGGACATCTTCATTTGTTATTTAAAATGTAAATAGCTAAGGATTAAAGATAAGTAAACCTCCTTAACAGTCCTTTATATGTACAATTTTAATACGTTTAAAATTTCTTGCTTGTGGATGAAAAGCTATTATGAGCAGAGTATTTCAAGCAATATTCATTTTAAAATTCATCCTAAAATGTTAGAAACCATATTATTAATGCATATATCTGGATATATAAGGTGAAGCGGTCCAAATATCTAGGTGGGAACATGAATAGCAGGTAGGCAGATGGTGTTAAATGCTGAACGTACTAATATCTACCCTGACCCCTTCTTGATGGGATTCTATATTTTGAGACAAACTTCTGTGAAAAAATAAACAAAAGGATTATAATTCAAATAAGACTTTTAGCACAGTGACCTCAATAGGCAAAGCATCTGCAGCCAAGGCACGATCATCAGCAACAAGAGGATTTATACCATCTGCAGTAGCAAGTTCATGAATTCCTGCCAAAAGGGGTCGCCACCTTCTTAAAACAGCAACAAATGGAGGTAAAATGACCTCTAGATACTGTGTGCGCAGAGGGGTCCGGTCCTTGCCAATAGCATGCCACACCTGCAAGAATAATGAAAAACATTATGTTATAAGGGCCATAGGAATAAAATCAGGAAATAAATGTCCAAGAATTACAAAAAACAAATGTTAAAACCAACAAGACCAGGCCAACAATGGTATAAAACTAACCTCAGAATATAGAACACATGATGCAACCAAAACTCGCTGTCTTTTTGATTCAGAAATAGGCATTATCAGGATAGGAGATAACACACTGTACACAACATTAATTATTAATCAGTTTCATTCAAAATATGTAGTGAAAAGCATGAAGAGGCATTTCCTGGGCAAGTAGAACATTTATTAATCAGTTTCATTCAAAATAAGTTTTGAGTCATGAGACAGAACTCATAAACCATGATCCTTGCAGTCAAGATAAATCACAACAGTTTTCAGTGACAAATAATGTAATGGCAGCAATACGAGCTGTTAGACAAGGTTATCTTGACCAGAAGTATCAGTATGGGTAATACCTCCACAGCAATGAAGCTCGTGGTTTTCTCATTGACATTTGGATGTTTGAATTAAAAGATGCAATACTGCTGGTTTGTCCACCAAAATTCTCCAGTGACCTATCTTCCATAGTTAGCATGAGCTTGCGGTCATCACCTTCATCATCTTCCCTCAATGAAACAAGCACCATCCGGAGCATACATAGGAATGGTTGGTCACTGTCTAATAACTGGTGAAGTGGTGACATGCCTCCCATTCCAGTACCAGATCCTCCTCCAATACCAAGACCACCACCAAGCCCGGATTCATCTAATAGTAATGCTTGAAGCATTGCAACTGACTTTTTTATTAACGGAAGCTCAATCCAGTTTCCATTAGTGTCTTTCTCCAGTGCAGATTTCCAAGATTCCCAGCCACTGCCACCACCACCAAACTCTGATGCCTTTGAAGGAAGGCCAACACCATACCACAGTCGACTCCTGTATTTCCATCCTTCTGCTAAATCTACAACACAGCTTCCATATGATACAAAAGCACAGTTAACTGTTTCGTAAGGTTCTGCTGCAGCAGCAGCAGTAAGCTGTTCCATTACTGCTGAAGAAATTTGCCCATTAGCATCAGCCATTGAAGCAAGAACCTGGTTCACAGCAAGATAGAGTTTAGATTTTACATGGAAGCATGATGATTTGAAATAATATAAGAAGAGGTGAAATTTAATCCAATACAAATTTGTGCTCTTCCGTGAGAAATGGTATAAAACATGTCAAACACAGAACATTGGAATCATAGCGACAGAGATGCAGGCTAAGCTTATTCATACATGCAGTCTGAATGGTGAAGTACTATACCGTGAAACCATTTAATGAAGGAGCATTGTCAACCCGAGATGACAGAAGAAAATAAAAAATAATATTAAAAAAAAAAAAAAGAATATCCATTGAGATAAAACCTGACATGAAAAGGAATGATAGAAAAACAGACGTAAAGCAAGTGTATCAATTAACTGTGTGCAGGTCAGCTATGTTTAAAATACTCAATCTAGCGGATATATATGTCAAGAGAGTGTATCAATTAACTGTGTCCAGGCAAGACGTGTAAAATGATAAATCTAGTTGCATACATACATCAAGAGAGAGTCCTTTAGAGTTGCTAGATGTTGAGTTACAAGTATTCACTGGTTCAAGAGTTTCTCCACCCACTGCAGTTGAAGAGTGGTTGCCCACGGGCAAAATATTTGAAAGAGGGGAAGGAGATATAGCTGGCAAACGTGAAGCACTATAAAGTTTGCTTTGTAATCGTAAATGGTCTTCAACAAGCATCAAAATCACAATTGCATTCTCAACCAAAGCTACAGAAAGCTGGGCAGCATTCTCTGCATGCAACTTTGCATCCTTAGGTGACAATCCCTCAGCTGCCACACCAGCTGCTGCTGCAGCAATAACTTGAGTCTGTAGTAATAAAACAGCTAGCAATTAGACATTATTATAATATAGGAAGATATAACATGCAATTACATACAAGATTCTTCAAATGAAACTTAAACTCCTAAAATATAGAGCAAAAGGAACAAAAATGAGCAATAAAAGAGGAAGCCATTCAGTTAAAGGTGTGCCAACACTGAAAGGGATGACAAATTACAGATAACGACATTTCTAAGAAAAGTCATAAATGAGCTTATCAAGTTAATATGAGTTACTTTGTTGTTTAAAAAGACAAGACAAATGACTATAAGCTTCTTGAAATGCTGAACCTCCCCTGGAGAAACATTATTTCCATTATCTGAGCTTCATTCTTAAAGTCGTTAATTTCAATCAATAACTTGGAAAGAGCGAAGATGAAAGAATATGAAGTTTATGGGGAAAAAAAAAGAACTTGGGATTATGAAGACAAAAACATGAAATCACCTGATCCCGTAGTTCTCTTGCAGAGAAGTCCAGCAAGTCACCCAAAAGCCTTCTTTTGAATATGGGCAATGATTCTTCACGTCTAGAAACAAACTAAAGATGGTAAGGCCAAGTGTATGGCTCTAATGGTAAACAAGAACAAAAATTAAAAACACAGCACTAGCCGTATGGTAACTAACATAATTGGCGAAACATTCAAGGTGAATAAGCTATACAGGAATAATGTAATTACACATTAAAATTTAGAGAAAAGCACGAAAGGATGCATTCACTTTCAAATGAAAGAGAAGGGAGAGTGCCCTTGGAAACTCCAGGATAATTCAAATACTTGAAATAACAATAATTTTCTCTCATACAGGTTAATTGATACTGTGAAAGCTTTCTCTTCTAGTATACCCAGCACTAATGACATTATAGCATCCAACCTCCCTTAAACATTTAATTTGTCGATGATAGACCACCCATAAGATTGACACATGCAAGGAAGAGGAAGGGAGTGGTTACAACCAACGTGAGGGATGCCAACTCAGCTTCAGTTAGTTAATAGGGGGTATAATGGTCATAGTGTTGTAGAAAGGGAAATGAATAAAATGTGGATGGGAGGGGAATGTAGGTAGGCTTAAACTTTCAATTAGAGGAGGGAGAGACCAGGCCTCTCTAATAGCCTTGGAATTTGTCTGTTATTTTAAAGTTCAATCAATCATTTTCATAAACCATGTGTAATCTCTCAGTGTTCTTAGCTGTTTTCTTGCAGATTTCGAGCGAAGGAATTCATCTATTAAATTACAGCAACTGGGGTTCTATCAATCTCGTATCAGAGCACGTTTACTGGGAAAATGACACTTACAGGTAGAGTGGCACTGTTGGAAACGAGGTTGGATGAATTGCAGGACGGCATGGGTACAATGAAATTGGAGATTCAATGAGACATGGCTGGATTAATGGAGAAATTCGATATGGTAATGAAGTGGGATGTACAGGAGAGAGATAGGAATGAAAAAGGAGTTTCATCCAATTCACCGGCATCTCCTACAAATTCCGATGAACTGCAACAAGTTAATGATACTGGGGAGAGGACAGAAGGCCACCTGCACCGTGATGAAACTGGGAGAACAGACAATCAATGCCGCTGGTTGGAAATGACAGTTTTCAACGGGGATGATCTGCACAATAGGATTTTTCATGCGGAGAGGTATTTCAACATGAATCAGCTCACAGATTGGGAGAAGATTGAGGCTACTGCCGTCTGTTTTGAGGGTGAGGCTCTGGCTTGGTATCAATAGGAGGATAGTCGATAGCTGTTCAGGAGTTGGGGAGATCTGAAACTCCTACTGCTTAATAGATTCCGGCCATCGCAAGAAGGATCTCTTGAGAAATTCCTGGCGTTGAAGCAAGATGGAACGATTAGAGATTACCGTCGAATGTTTGAGATCCTTGCCGCATCTCTGTAGGAGATTCCAGAAGTTGGGGTGGAGGGAAACTTCATAAACGGGCTTAGTCCGGCGATTAGGGCTGAAGTGAGAATGATCAGGCCGCAAGGATTCGGATCATGAAAATGGCCCAACGGGTTGAGGACCGTAATGACTCCTTAAGGCGAGCCCAATTATGGAATGGCCCAATTAAAACCAAAGAAGTATAATTCCCAGCCACCCATGTTCAGCCCATCACCAAACAGCCCAATTAACCCAAATATATCCCCAAATCAGTCATCCAATCTCACGGCATCAACACAACAAGCCCTTACGGCGATACCCAAGACTATTGTGCTCACGATGCAGCGTCCGACGACTGCAGTGAAGGCTGGGTTTCCTTTTAAACGACTTACTGACGCGGAATTACAGTTGAAGAGAGAAAAAGAGTTATGCTATCGCTACGATGAGAGGTATAGCCCGGGACACAAATGTAGAAACAAAGAGCTACAAGTTTTAATGGTGCAAGAGGACAAAAGAGAGGAGCAGATAGAGGAATTTAAAGAGGAAGGGGAGAAAATTGGGGATACCTTGGAGTTGTCCCTAAAATCCATGGTGGGTCTCCCACGACTAAGACTATGAAGCTTAAGAGGGAAATTTTGGGACAGCCGGTTGTTGTCTTGATTGACTGTGGAGCTACCCATAATTTCGTCTCTGAGGAGCTCGTTCAAAAGTTGGAATTACAAGTGACAGGTTTGGCAAGCTTCGGTGTCCAATTGGGTATTGGATATTCAGTTAAGGGTGGGGGAATTTGTAAGGGGGTGGTGGTTTCACTGTCGAACATTGAGGTAGTCGAAGATTTCTTACCATTAAAATTGGGTTGTACAGATATGATCCTTGGAATGAAATGGCTAGAGTCTTTGGGAAAAATGCAAGTGAATTGGGGAGCCTTAACTATGCGTTTTAAGGTAAGCGGGGAAACCATTTTACTGCAGGGGGATTCGAGTTTGGATAAAACCCATGTGACTTTAAAGTCAATGGTTAAGACATTTGAGGAGGGGGAACAAGGTATCTTGTTGGAACTAGGAAGTCTAGGGTAGAGATTGGAAAGAAGGTGACTATGGTTCCCAACCCATTTAAGGAATTATTGCAGAGTTATAGCAAGGTGTTTGAATGGTACAATGAACTTCCACCTCCGCGGTCAAGGGACCACGATATCATTCTAAGGCCCTGGTGCAGCTCCGGTAAATGTTAGACCATATCAATACCTGTATGTTTAGAATAATGAAATAGAGAAACTAGTCAGAGATATGTTGACAGCGGTAATTATTCAACACAACTTTAGTCCTTATTCAAGTCCGGTTCTTTTGGTGAAGAAAAAAGACGGGAGTTGGAGGTTTTGTGTAGACTATCGGGCACTTAACAAGGTGACTGTGCCAGATCGTTTTCTGATCCTCGTGATCGACGAGTTTTTAGATGAATTACATGGGGCTCGGGCATTCTCAAAGTTAGATTTGAAATCGGGTTATCACCAAATCAGGGTCCAGCCGGAGGACATCCCAAAAACTACTTCGCACTCATGAAGGGCATTATGAATTCTTGGTTATGCCCTTCGGGTTATTGAATGCGCCGACGACTTTTCGGTACATGATGAATGAGGTGTTTAAACCTTATTTACGGAAGTTAGTACAAGTCTTCTTCGATGACATTTTAGTCTACAGCCAGACGGTGGAAGAACATCAGCGACACTTGGGTACAGTGTTGAGGATTTTACAAGAGCATCAGTTTTATGCCAATAAGAAGTGCATGTTCAGCCAATGGGAAATTGAGTACCTGGGCCATGTTATTTCTGAGAATGGTGTATCTGCAGATCAGACAAAACTAGAAGCAATGTATAATTGGTTGAGCCCACGCAATCTCAAGGAGCTTCGAGGACTTCTGGGACTCACTGGCTATTATAGACACATTGTGTCAGGATATGCCAAGATTGCATGGCCCCTGACTGAACTACTTAAGAAAGATAAATTCTACCGAGATGACAAAACGGAGGAGGTTTTTCAGAATCTGAAGTCAACCATGGTCTGCATTCCGGTACTAGCATTACCTGATTTCTCCCAGGAGTTTGTGATTGAGATAGATGCTTCCGGTCATGGGTTAGGATTGGTGTTAATGCAGAACAGCCACCCTATTGTGTATTTCAGCAAGGAGTTGCCACAAAGTGCCTGGCTAAAATCAATTTACGAGGGGGAGTTGATGGCCATCGTGTTTGCCATCCAAAAGTGGCGTCACTACTTGGTAGAGACTTCGTGGTACGTACGGATTAATGAAGTTTGAAGTTATTATTGGAACAATGTTTGGTGAGCGAGGATCATCAAAAGTCGTCAACTAAAATGATGGGCTTGTTGAAACTGTAGATAATAGTGGGGAGGTTAGAAAATAAAGCTGCGGATTCTCTTCCAGAATTCCGCCTGCTTTGAATCTTTTGGCTCTGTCCACTTGCCAAGTCTACAATTAGAAGACATCAAGAAAGAGGTAGCTACCGATGGCATTATGGGGGAAATTAGCATCTGAGCTGCAATCTAGGATCAGTGTAAAAAATGGGTATGCTATGATCGACGACGTACTATGTTATCAGGGAAGGGTTGTTCTACCTGGTCACTCCACTTTTGTCACTCTATGTTACAAGAATGCCATGACTCTAAGGTTGGAGGTCACTCGGGATTCCTTAAGACATACAAAAGGATCGCGAAATAAGTCTACTGGCAAGGGATGAAGAAGAGGGTAAAGGACTGGTAAAGGACTATATGGCAGGTCGTGGGGTATCTTAGCAAAACAAATATATGGCCTCATCTCCAGGTAGGTTATTACAGCCTCTACCAATTCCTGAATCTATTTGGGAGGATGTATAAATGGATTTCATCGAAGGGTTGCCATGATCAAGGGGAGCCGACACTATTTTGGTCATCGCGGATTGTTTGAGTTAAGTGTGGACATTTCATCGGGTTAAAGCATCCTTTCACCACCCCCTTAGTTGCTGACGTATTCAGTCGGGAGATAGTCTGCTTGCATAGTTTACCTTGCTCTATTGTGTCAGATAGAGATCGTATCTTTATGAGTACATTTTGGGTTGAGTTATTTAAAGCACAGGGGACTGCCCTTAAACATAGTGTAGAAAACGTCCAAGTATGGAAGAGTATCATTGATAGACATTATGAATAATTAGGAAATTTGTATTTTAGGCTTATTTTCCTTATTAGGCAGGATATTTTTTCCTTTTCTTCTTCCAGACTTGTATTATAAATTGGTTGTATTATTATTGAAATAAGAAAAAACATTGAGTCCAACCGTTTCTACATGGTATCAGAGCTAGGTCTCCTAACCTAGCAGAATAATGGCGGAATTCCCACCCACCAACCAGGAATCCACAACATCTGAAACATCCTAATTCGAAGAAGAAGCTAATTCATCATTCGGCTCTAATGGAATCGAAACCACCTCCTTCCAACTCACAGTGGAAAAACTGAATGGAAGAAATTTTCGAGAGTGGGCACAATCTATAAAATTAGTGATTGATGGAAAAGGGAAATTAGGATACCTGACCGGGGATACGAAGAAGCCAGTCGATGCGAAACTCCAGTCACGATGGAATTCTGAAAATTCTATGGTCACGGCATGGCTCGTAAATTCCATGAAACCGTCTATTGGAAAAACATATCTTTTCCTTCCCACCGCAAAAGATGTCTGGGAGGCT